ACAAGAGAGTGCCTGTGTGAAAACCCCAGCAGCGGGAGCCTCCACCAAGTACAAATAAGGACACTGTCAGCAGCCCCAGCATGTGCCTTTTCACACTGCCCTGCTGGTCGCTTGTACCCGGATCTGCCGGGTCTGTTCTGCCAGTGAGAGCAAACTCTAGCTTTGATTTTCCTTTGCTTCTGCTCCCTCAGGGGGGGAGGCTGGCAGGCAGTGGCAGGGAGCTTTTGTTGTGGGAGTGATACCATGAATTCATTGCAAATGGGTCGTGCAGGTCTTGGGTTGGGAGCTGGTGTGAATTATTGGCAGCGGGATGTTGATTCAGAGGGATGAGCACGGCAGCTGATAGGCAGGACTGCTTATAGACACAGAGAGGTTATGTAAAGGCTTGCAGGGCTGTGATGGCCAGGGAGGGAACCTCCTGAGCTAAGAGCTCCCTTGTAAGTTTATAAGCTAGAACTGCCTTCTGCAGGTGCCTTCACAAAGCGTCGCAGCTGCGGTGACGCTTTGCTCTCCAGTTTGCACTCTGGCTCATGCCAAGTCCATGTGGTGATGCCTGAGCTGGACCCTGGGGAGGGTGGCAGAGCAGGGCTGGACATCCTGAAAGTTATAACTTGGCCTGTACCGCTCTGCTGCCCAGCCCAAGCTACCAGAGAATTTTATCATTAGAATAAATACCCACATCCAGGGCTGATTTTTACCCTCTGAGAGTCTGATGGTCCCCAGAGGTCCCAAGAACAACTCATCTTCTCTCTTTCAGATGATCTCAGCTCATTCCTCATGTGTATTTTAAGGCGTGAGGCTCCTGACTGTCAGGTGTGTTAATGCTTTGATTCATCGAAGTCCCTGTTTCTTCCCCTTTGTCCACATATATTATAGAATCACAGAATGGTTTGGGTTGGAAGGAACCTTAAAGATCACCTAGTTCCAACCCCCCTGCATGGGCAGGGACACTTCCCACTAGACCAGGTTGCTCCAAGCCCTGTCCAGCCTGGCCTTGAACACTTCCAGGGAGGAGGCATCCACAACTTCTCTGGGCAAATACATAATTTGTTCTGCTGAGTTGCTTTAACTTCTCTGCTTGATTGAGCAGAGCAGGCCAAGTGCCAGCCCTTCCCTGCCAGGATTTCTGTGCTTAATGCTGAGATAAGACTAAAATCCCAGGTGCTTTTTTTTTTCTGGTGGTTTTAATCATAAATAACTTTTCTTGACACCTTGCTTCAGTTCTTGCTATGCTTTGTGTCAGATGCACTCCTCTCCAGAGAATGTAAGGAGGGTATTTCAAAGGAACCAGATATTTAATCTTTCTTGTGGAGCTGGCTGCCACACAGCTAACTGGAATTTGAGAGGTGTTTCAAACTCGAGAAAGTCTTTCCATTGTACTGTCTTTCTAAATCAAGCTGTCTAAGCTGTGTGTTGGTTTAGCATCATATAAACTAGAAAAAGAACAGACTTGCTGTGTGCCATCACTCTATTTACTCTTTGTGAAGATAGGCTCTTCCTGGCAAAATGTCCTCAAGATGTTTTTGGAGTCCAGAGAGAAGAATGATCCATTACAAAAGAAAAGTCCTAGGTTCATGTGCAGTGGATGACCTGTGTTGCACTAAGTTTAGTCATAGAATCATAGAATGGTTTGGGTTGGAAGGGACCTCCTTGCATTGATCAGGGACACCTCCCACTAGACCAGGCTGCACAAGCCTCATCCAACCTGGCCTTGAACACTTCCAGGGAGGGGGCACCCACAACCTCCCTGGGCATCCACGACCTTCCTGGGTAACCTATTCCAGTGCCTTACTACCCTCATGGTGAGAAATTTCTTCCTGATCTCTAACCTAACTTGCTTCCAGAGGGTTGATTTAGGTTAGACATCAGGAAGAAATTATTCACCACAAAGGCAGGAAGGCACAGGAATAGGTTGCCCAGGGAGACTGTGGATGTCCCCTCCTTGGAGGTGGTCAAGGTCAGGTTGGATGAAGTTTTGTGCAACCTGGTCTAGTGTGAGGTGTCCCTTAGAGAGGTTGGAACCTGATGATATTTAAGGTCCCTTCCAACCTTATCCATTCTATGATTCTGGTTTTGGTGGGTACTGAGCCCTATGTCCTCTGAGTATTGTGTCCCTTTAGGTGCCTCAAGTGATGTGCCCAGAGCTGCAATTCTCCATGACCATGAGGCTTGTAGGATAACCTCTTTTCTACCCACCTCCTCCCCAGGATTTCTGATATTTTTCTGGAACAGGTATCCCCCTTACTTCTGTCTCGTTCCTAACAGGGCATGTGCTTTTTTTGCTGCCTTCTCACCAGAGGAGAGCTGCCAATTCAGGTTTCATTAGAAGCTGCTGTGCCAGCTCTTTGATATTCAGAAGCTGTGGGGTTTTTATGTCTGTTTCCTGACCTAGCATAACTCTACTAATAATGTGAGAACTCTAGTGCTGATATCCTGTCAGCCTAATATAGAGGGTCAGTCAATAAACAGCGTTACAATTTTCTTTGCTTCAGCAAAGACAGTAAGTTGAACACAATGTAAACAAGGTGGTTGGATCCATTTCCCCACCAGTAACATTTGCAGTTATGCAGGCAAATTTAATGGGCGTGATTAAATCTTATGCTCCAGCTTGGCAGCTGATTAGCTGCAGGGGGCAGGCAGGAATTTCCTTTCTGTTCACTCGTTCCAAGTCCTCCTTCATGTTTGTGCCAAGGATTTCAACGTGCTTTGCATTTTTAATTATGCTTCTTCATGCCCCTGTGAAGAGTGGAGATGAGAGATAGAAGGATCAGCAACAGAGCAGTGGGGAAACTGAGGCACTAGGAGGTGGCAACTTGCTTGGGAGAACAGAGGCAGTTGTTACACTTGGAGAAAGAAGAGCAGAGCATCCCAGAAATCTTCTCTTGGTGTTTCTGTGGGTCTAATGAACTTATGCCTAGTTCTCAATAGTCAGTGTCTTTAACACATTAAAGTCTTGGCTGTCTGCAAGGACAAAATGGTGCTTTTATGTATATGTCAGTATCCAGTCTGTGATGGGGAAAATAGATATTTTAATTTTAATTTCTCTATTTTGTCTTTCATCACTCTGTTCCTCTAGTTTCTGAGTAGAATGGCCTGTTTATATTTTTTTTTTCTCTTTGTATGAAAAAGCATTTTACTCTGAAATCACCTCAGGCTGAGGCTGCAAACTGGTTCAGCTCCACAAACACCCTGCTGCTTTGTCCCTGCAGAGGTAATTAGTGAGTTTACTGTGTGGATTCACCTTCAGTGGGTGTACTCTGAAGTAGCTACAGTAGCTGTGAGGGTGGTGAGACACTGGCACAGCTTGCCCCGGGAAGTTGTGGATGCCCCTTCCCTGGAAGTGTTCAAGTGCAGGTTGGATGGAGCTTGGAGCAAACTGATCTAGTGGGAGGTGTCCCTGCCCATGCAGGGGGGTGGGAACTAGATGATCTTTAAGGTCCCTTCCAACCTTTCTATGATTCTATGGCTGATTTCTTTACCTGGATGTACAGCTGAAGAGCTGGCCTTGCAACATCAAGGAGGAGAAAATACTTTTCTTACTAAGTTGTGGTTTGGTCCAAAGAAGAGACCACAGGTGTCTTGGCAAAACTGTCACATGTTAAGCTACCTCTCCTGCATATTGCTAACACTGTGTCTGACAAAATATAGAGAGCAGGAGGGATTAGCTGAGTCTTCTCAAGATGGTGGGAATGGAGAATGGGCCTTTCTCAGCTTAATTACAGCCTAAAGCCCGATGGAGAACAGTGTATTTTAGATCTCACTGGATGGGGAGGGTTTCTTACAGATGGTATTTCCCACTCCTGTGGTGTATGACTTAAGCTTTATAACTTCACATGAAAAACATCCTTCAGCAGCTGGTTTTGTGGTACCAGAGTGGACAGAAACTTATGTGCAATCTTGAGCCAGCAATTTGTTGTGTAGAGAGAAGCAGCAATTCAGGCACACCCAATAGTCCCCACTGATATGGGGCATCCTGCCCAGCCCTCTATCCTGCTAAGAACAAGGGTGTCTACCTGGAGTACTCTGGAGCTTGGGGCTGAGGCCAAAGCTTGACTTACTGGGCATCTCAGGTTCTAAGATGGTGTCTAAATAAGCTGCCTGAATCTGCCCCTTGGTCTTTTCTCAAAACTCGATTGTAAATAAACGCTATCCTAATAATTTTATAGTTTCCAGCATTCTCTCACTGGCTTTGTGCTGGCACTTGGAGAGCATTCATCACAGTGACAAATGAGGATCTCTTTGGTCTGCACATGGAGTGGTTAAGGGCCAGCTGAGCACGTTGCATGATGTGATAGTTGTGCCCTTGCAGCCCAGAAAGCCACTGTGTCCTGGGCTGCCTCAAAAGAAGTGTGGCCAACATGTCAGGGAGGTGATTCTCCCCCTCTACTAGGCTCTCATGAGAGCCCACCTGGAGCACTGTGTCCAGCCCTGGAGCCTCCAACCTAAGAAGGACATGAAGCTCATGGAGAAAGGCCAGAGGAGGCCACAAAGATGATCAGAGGGCTGGAGCAGCTCTGCTACAAGGACAGGCTGAGAGAGTTGGGGTGTTCAGCCTGGAGAAGAGAAAGCTCTGGGGAGACCTTATAGCACCTTCCAGTGCCTGAAGGGGCTACAGGAAAGCTGGGGAGGGACTTTTTACAAGGTCTTGTAGTGAGAGGACAAGGGGTAATGGATTAAAACTGGAAAAGAGTAGATTTAGGTTAGACATTAGGAGGAAATTCTTTTGTGTGAGGATGGTGAGACACTGGCCCAGGTTTCCCAGAGAAGCTCTGGATGCCCCATCCCTGGAAGTGTTCAAGGCCAGGTTGGATGGGGCTCTGAGCAACCTCATCTAGTGGGAGGTGTCCCTGCCCATGCAGGGGGGTTGGAACTAGATGATCTTTAAGGGCCCTTCCAAGTTAAACCATTCTATGATTCTGTGATGATTCCATGAATTCTCTTTCTGACCAGATGAGAGAGTTCACTCTAACAACTGTTCTCTTCTTGCTGCTCTTTTTCAGTTCCAAGGAAGCTTCTGCATGAAACCCAGCCAAGATCAAGCAATTACCAAAGATATCAGAAGCCACATTTTCCACTGCAGCCAAGGGTGTTTGATCCCAATATTATAGGGGACAGCGTGTTCCTTTCCGATGTCTCTCCTTCCAACATAGGCCGTGCTCTCCCAGGTAGCTGTGACTGTTCCAATATTGGCCTCTCTGTACTGTGGTAACTGTTCCCTTCTATCTCCCCTTATCTGGCTTTCTATGTTGTTCCCAAATCCCATCCATGTCACTGTCAGAAGAAGAAACTTCAAGATGGGACCAATGACAGACTAAAGTGAACTGTGAAACTCACAGGGTTTCTTGAAATAGCAGTCATGGCCATGCATGTCAAAACTCATCACAGAAATCCTTTGTAGACTTGTCTAATACAGTGGCAAAGGAAGAAAACAGGGCAGAGACAGTAGATCTTCCTCACAGGGGACAGGGAAGATTACAACTGAGCTTTGAAATCTAATTCTATTTTCATAAAATGCAAAGTCAAGAGACATAAATTAAAGCAAATCTTAGTCATCTATAGGGATAGGTGAGTAGGAGGAAGGGATGGTACCTGAATAAAGGAAAGCACAGGTGAGCAGATATTGGACTAGTGGGTGGTTTTGCATTGTGTTTCCCAACATGCAGGAGATAGTATGTGACATTGCTTCTGAAATTCCCAGCCTGTGCTCTGAGAGATTCAGCTCTGGGGTGGGTATGGGCAGAGTTACTTTGTGTTCCTGCCAAAGTTAATCCACAGTTTGGATAATCAACCTACAGATAATGAAGAGTCAGCAATAACTAATTTGTCAGTTTGGAGGCGTTACAGAAAAATTGTCAAATAAAAGGATTTTAAGTCACCTCAAAATGAATTTTGTGATGCTGATTATTCTTTTAAGCAAGGAAAAAAAAAATCCTGAACTCATTTTCATTCATCTAAACATTTCATTTCTACAAATGACACTTTTTTTGTTTAGTTTTCACATTGTTTATTCCTTCATTTTAAAAACATGCACTACTTTTCAAACAAAGATGTCATTTTGAAGTTAAAAGCTAAAAGAATGTTCCAAAAATAGCAAAAGGAAATATTTGGACCTTTCTGTAATCTTCCTTGTAGTTTTTTGAGGTTTTTTTAATTAAAACTATTTTGTAAAGGTTATCCTGGCATCATGAGCTACTGTTCCTATGCTTAAGTGGTCTTGTTGGGCAAATCTGTTACTAGCTCAGTTTTCCTCAGCTTTGGTGTAAATTCACAGGGAAACTGCTCAAGAGACTGGGGTGGTGAGGAGAAAACCATCAGTAGATGAGCTGTCAAGGTTCAGGTATAGACAAGGTCTTCAAACTAGCAAGGAGGAAAGGGGATGTCTTTTCATACCCTCCCGAGATGAATGGCAGACCAGGGAACCACACAGGGCAGCAATGTGTGGAAATTGTGTGTGTTTGTTTTTTCCCCTCTGCATAACTCCAGTCGTTTTCTGTCTTCCCTGTCTGTACTTGTACAATCCTGCAGATGACAAAACCAGTTCTGTGGTTTTGTGGTGCTCTTTGCCAGACTATAGTGTATGCAGAAGAGTATCCATTTTAAAACTTGTTGGATTGCATCTGTTCTTTGTATAAGTTGGAGATGGGGGCTAGGGGGTTGGGGGGAAAGGATTGTTTTTACATCTGACACGAGAGGAGTTGTGCCTTACTCTGGCTCCTAAATACACCATTAGCACATGCATGGTTTTACAAGGGGTGCCCCATAACTGACAGATGTGGTGTCCATCTGTCCATCTGAGCCTTTTCTGCCTGATCTGACACATGCACAGGGAAGCCCCCAATAAAAGTACAATTTAAACCTCAGTCCTTGTGAGGTGGCATGAATGTATTGACAGTGAGGGGCAGGTGGGTTGTCACTAACCCAGAACTGGACATGAGAAAGAGGTGCAGAGCTCCCAGGTCCACGTCCTGCCAGCTCTGGGCAGCCCCAGTCCAGCCACAGGAACTGGACTGAAGTGCAGAGCTGTAGAAAACTCTCAAAGACCTAGTGGGAACCTGGAGCCATCTAACTTGGCAGTCCTCTCTTTGAGAGATATATGGTTATGAAACAGATGAGATTGCATCATAGAATCATATTAAGGTTGGAAGGGACCTTAAAGATCAACAGGTTCCAACCTCCCTGCCATGAGCAGGGACACATCCCACCAGACCAGGCTGTACAAGCCTCATCCAACCTGCCCTTGAACACCTCCAGGGAGGGGGCTTCCATGACCTCCCTGTGCAACCCATTCCAGTGCCTTCCTACCCTCATGGTGAAGAATTTCTTCCTGATGTCTAAGCTAAATCGACCCTCTTTTCAATTTAAAACCATTACCCCTTTTCCTATCACCGCCCTCTCGGGTGAAAAGCCCCTCCCCAGCTTTTCTGTAGGCCCTTCAGGCACTGGAAGGTACTTGGTGGTGCCCTTCCTTTTCACTGATTGTAAAGAGGTTTTAGATTTACTGTTTCAGAGCCAGACTCAGCATGTAGATGTCTTGGGCAGGCTTAAGTTACCCCCATATAAATGTGTCAATTGAGATGAACCTGGGGCATTCACCTGGTTTCTAGATGTTGCCCTAGAAGGGTGAGTTTCCCCTACATCCCTTATCATACCTGCCATCTCTGGGGGGATGTCCTTCTGACCCCAGGCTGTCTTAGATGTGTGTGTATGAGCAGATACATCCAGCTTTAAGTGTCTGCCATGGGGAGGAGCTGAGTGACTCTTTAGGATCTGTTGACTAGTAGCAGGAATCAGTTGCTTCAGTTCAGATGCACAGTGCTACTTGAAGTATCCGGTTTTTAGGTTCAGTTTTTAGAAATGAAAATTTTACCCTGCTTCAATGAATTTCTTTACAGGGCAGTGGTAGAGAAAAATCCAACCACTTGAACTAACAGATTTACCAGACAGGGAGAATAAAGGAAAGATTAGAGGGTACATGGGTGCCTACATCTAAATGGAAAGATTTTCTACAGCTTTGCTTTTGATTTCCTGCTG